ACAAGATATAATCACAGAAGTATTGTTTCTAGTCTAAAGCTCAACGCAGTATCAAGATAAATCTTTAGAAAATTCTAGACCAACAAAAAAAATCTTCTAAGATTTAACCAGTTCAGAATGCGATACAATAACAATTTGAAGAAGAAATCTTCACACTTATTGCTATTGAGAATAGCTAAAATCATGATGAAATCTTTTACGATCGTTGCTTTTTTGTGAGAATCCTCAAAAATTTACACCTATTGAATAACCTACAAAACACAAACTTACAAAGATTTTAGATCAATGTTTCGATAGGAGATTCGTATTGTCTTGTAAAGAAGTGAAAATAATTTATTTGTAGAAAGTTCGAAATCGATCCGTGATCGAAACTGCTATTGTTTAAAAAACCGTGTTCCATACCCGATTAAGTTGAAAATTTGTAATACATTAGAAATGACTTCAAAATAAAAGATTTGATTGATTCGTAGATAGATCATTGTTTGTGCTATAATGTAGAGTAATGAGCATGACAGATTCTTCAAATATTCTTGAATTTGGGAGAGATTTGTTTTTGAGTTCTTTTCATGTACTAAAATTCGAGCTTACTTATTATTTCATCTAAACTTATCTTATTTAGCACTTCGATTAGCCTTTCTACAAACTACTTGTTTGTTTGAGATTCAGGAATAAATTACTCAATAATAAGTATGATGCAAAATTAATGGCATAAAATACTTTCGAATGGTGTATGATTTATATTTGTCACACATTCGTAAATGGAATAAGAAAGAAAAATACTTACACAAAAAATTTGTAATTTTTTTATATGAATCAGTCAAAAACATCTTATGCATGGTAGTTAAGTATAATTAACTATCGTTATTATCTAGCAAGATGTTTTTAACGAATTCATATAAAAGTGGCAAATTTATTTTGTCTCATTTCACTCAGAAATGTGTGAGGAACATAAATCATACACCGTTTACTATCAACTGATAACAATTTTTTTTTTCCTTACGTTCAAATTCAATTATAACTCATTTTATTGTAAAATCCAAACAATAAAAAATGAAATAATTTTTAAATATATTTCAAACTCGAACTAACGAAATCAGTGAATATGTTGAAAAAATTTGATATAAAAGAAAATTTCATTTACGATAAAATTCGAGTTAATCACAATTTTTCACGTTACCAGTTAAATTTTAGTTACTTTTAGTCAAACTAAGGATTCTTACATAAAATATTTGAAAAAAATCAACAATGTTTTGTTTTCAACATTGAGAAAAACCAGATTCTAATCAGGTTCATAAGTAAAAAGCTTTTGTAACTGAGAGCAACCCAATACTGTTTAAAACAAATGAGAATGATTCATTTCAATGAAATCGATGTTTATTTCTACACCTTACTTTCGTTTCATTTCAGCACCAATGCGTGCAAGTTTCATTGATATTCATCCGAATGCAAAATGGGCACAGAATGGTATCACTGTTGCTGGAGGAAATGGAGAAGGCAGTGAGCCCAATCAACTCTATTACCCACGGGGTTTGTACGTCGATGATGATCAAACGATTTACGTCGCTGATTGGGGAAATCATCGTATTGTGGAATGGAAATCTGGTGCAACGAATGGAAAAGTGGTTGCTGGTGGAAATAGAGATGGAAATAGAACTAATCAATTAAATAGCCCATATGATGTGATTATCGACAAAGAGAGCGATAGTCTCATCATCGGCGATTACTGGAATAACAGAGTAGTTCGTTGGCCTCGTCGAAGTGGTACTCGTGGAGAAACAATTATTTCAAATATCTCTGGCAGCGGTTTGACAATGGACGACAATGGTTATCTCTATGTCGTTGACGAAGAAAAACATGAAGTGAGACGATATAAAATTGGTGAGACTAAAGGAACAGTAGTTGCAGGTGGTAATGGAAAAGGAAATCGTCTCGATCAACTCTCTTCTCCCAGCTACGTATTTGTCGATCGAGATCATTCAGTTTATGTGTCTGAATGGGAAAATCATCGTGTAATGAAATGGGAAGAAGATGCAACACAAGGCATTGTTGTAGCCGGTGGCCATGGAGAAGGAAAAAGTCTTACACAATTGAATGAACCTGAAGGAGTTCTTGTCGATCAATTGGGTACTGTCTATGTGGCTGATTCTGTGAATCATCGAATCATGCGTTGGCCAAAAGAAGCCACACAAGGAAGTGTCATTGTTGGTGAAAATGGTCAAGGAGCACAGTCGAATCAACTCTCTCTTCCCATAGGTTTATCATTTGATCGACATGGTAATCTCTATGTCGTCGATTACGGAAATCATCGAGTACAAAAATTTGATATCGTATGAAATTCAATGCGATGATGAATTTTATTTTTGTTTGTTCTTTTCCTGTTTCAAATAAATCGTGATTGAATGAAAAAAATCCATTGAAATTTATTCTATTTTCGCACGCGCGCGCGACCAGGAACCATCCTGGTGGATCCGTGGCGAGCGTAAAGCTCATGCAAGCACGGGAAGACTCACATCATCCACATGCACCCATCCGATGTCATATGTCAGTGAGTCTGGGGGCCCGATCGTGTGCCGCGGACACCAAGACAGTTCCTGGCCAGGCTTTTAGGGACTACCCGGAAGTCCTTCTTATAAAGAGAAACCCTAAACTCAACGTACCTCACTCACCCTAACTATTCTCGTCTCAACGAAGAAAAGAAAGAGAAAAAAAAATTAACTCACCCGTTGATGTTGAATGATGACGTCTTTAACAGGAAAAGAAAAACATGAATATAAAAGATCACAAGAGGACTTACCACCCTCTGTATGATCCAATAAAGAAAAAAAAAAGAAAAACTGATACCTACATTTTTTTATTGTGTTGTATTGTTTTGAATTGTATAATTTTGTATTGTCGAAATCGTTCTAAAATATAAAAAGAAAAGATTCATATTTGATTCAATAAATTGAATGATTTTTACATAGAAAATCATTCGTATTTATATGTTAAAAAATCGACAATTTTCTTTTTTTTCTCGTCAGAGAGTGATCAAAAGGCGATAATAATTAAGCTATCATCAACATATACACATACATTGAGATAAATTCAATCACAAATATCTCAATGTACGTGTATGGGATAATGCTTAATTGATATATACAATCATTATGTCACATTATCATTGATCATCAATGATAACCTGAACAATGACGACTTATGGACGAGAGAAGAAAAGAAAAAAAAAATTCTTTTCATTTTCAAAAATTAAAAGTAAAATAAAACATTTGTTTGCTAGGTCATGATAATCAAATATTCACGACGATTGGAAATTAGAACATCAAAAGATGTTCCTCTAATGTAATTACAAAGGTAAATTTTTTAAAGTAAATTAATTGTTTTATTTTATTTGAAAATACTGTGAATGGTCCACGTTCGAAAGATGCTAGTGAATCAAGAAATTCAATATAAAACTCTGAATGATATGATTTATTCGAATTGAACGTTAGGATTTTAAAAAGGTCTAACATTTCAAAAACAGAAGGATATTTTATCTAAATTGTTCGATATTTTTAATGTATATTGTTTTGTAGTATGTGAGGGTCGTCGTTCATCTGATTTAAATGCCATAAGTGTTGCTTTAAATCTTTTTTATGGATTTTAATACAACATAAAACAATTTAATTAGCCAATTGTCATGAAATTTTTTGTGCTGATAGAGGTCTTGATTAATTCGTGAAAATGATCGTATTAATATATATGATGCTTAACAAAAATGTTCATTAGCAAGTGTAAGAAAAGGCAAAGTTAAATATACAATGTGGTCAAATGATACGAATTACCCAGGTCAAAAAAGCACGATCGGAAACGATCGTATACGACGAAATACGTCTAGAGACGGTCATCGTATACGACGATCGTATACGATGGACGTACACGATGCCATACGTTCAAGTACGATCAACGTATACGTTGCAAATAAACGAGTGTCGTACACGATTGTAGTATACGACCGTATATGGTCGTAACTTAGTCGTAGGTTTCCACATCGAGAAATCATATAGAAAGATCGGTCATGAATTTTTGTATGATTCTATTAGATCTTACAAACTATTGTATATGATCATACGAGATCATACGGAAAATCATACGAAAAATTGTTGTCTCAGAAATCTGATGTCAAGTCTTACATCAAGTTTCTCGAACATGAAAAATTAAATTTGAGATTTTCTATAATATTAATATAGAAAATTAAGGAATAAAATCAACCATTTTCTATACTATTGCTATAGAAAAATAAAAAGTAAATATGCGATTTTCTATATTCAGGGTATAGAAAAAAAAGAAATGAAAATTTATATTTCCTATATTATTATTATAGAAAAATAGGAAATAAAACTAACTTTTATGTGTATTAATAATATAGAAACATAAGAATTATAATGAGATTTTGTATATTACTAATATAGAAAAGCAAAAAATAAAAATTAATATTCTTTGTATTATTAATATAGAAAAGAAAGAAATAAACTTAACCACTTTCTATATTATTGTTATAGAAAAACAAAAAAGTAAAAGTACTGTTTTCTATGTTACCTATACATAAAAAAATAAAAAATTGAAGTTAAGATTTTCTATGTTACCTACGTAAAAAAATAAAAAACTAAAATTAAGATTTTCTATATTAACAATATAGAAAATTAAGAGGTACAAGATAAGATTTTCTTTTATTGTTCGTATAGAAAAATAAGAAAAATAATTGTGTGCACAACTCGATCGTGTTTTTCAACTGCTGTTCTTCGTAGTAAAACTACTCGAATCAACAATTCTCGAATAAATAAAGAACAGGGAACATCATACACGATCGGATAAGGATAGATAAGATCTTCAGTAGGTACTGGTGTATGTTCCTTTTTGTATGAACCTTTTGTGGTTTGAAGAGATTTGATAGGAAGCATTGAGTCTGTCCTTATAAGTGTCTTAATCTTTGAATCTCATAAGATTATTTGGTGACACTGTACAATCAAAATCTGCCCAGGTCAAAAACCTGACAACAAATCATGCGAAATCCGATAAGATCTTATCCTTATAGGATTTTCTCTATGATCTTGTCACAAGCTCATATGATTTCATATGTGTTCGTTGTTTGAAGATTTCCTCAGATTTTGACCATAAGATGCCAGCAAAAATCTTACAAGATTTAAATATTAAGAAACCTATTAGTACCGGCTGAATGTTTCTTGTGAGATCTTATTAGATCATATGAGATTAATGTAAAAAGAAACATAACAGAACATAATGTGGATCCTTTCTGTTCTTAGCTGAATGTGTATGGTCTCTCCTGTTCTTTAACTTATTCGGAAATTGTTGATTCGATCAGTTTTACTGTGAAGAATAGTAGTTAAAAAACAAGATCAATCCGTGTACCTAGCTTGTTTTGGTACTTTTCTCTAGTGATTATACAGAAATCTTAACTTTCATTTCTTATTTTTCTATATTAATAATATAGAAAATGTCAATTTTCATTTCTGATTTTTCCAAATTGATAGTTTAGAAAAGGTGTAATTTAATTTTAATCTTTCTATATTTGATAATATACAGAATTCTAATTTTCATTTTTTATTTTTCTATAGTGATAATATAGAGAATCTTAATTTTTACTTTTAATTTTTCTATATTTCATATTATATAAAATCTTACTCATTATTTTTCATTATTCTATTCTGGTAGTATAGAAATTCCTATTTGTATTTCTTCTTTTTCTATTTTGGCGACATAAAGAATCCCATTTTTACTTCTCATTTTTCTAGTTTAATAATATAGAAAATCTTATTTTTCAATTCATCTTTTCTATATTGATAATATAAATAACAGTTAGTTTTGATTCTGATTTTTCTGTATTGGTAAGGTAGATAACAGTTAGGTTTATGGTTTTCATTTTCTATATT